AAGGGCAAAGGGTTCACTAGTTAAGGTGTAGACATTTTGAGCCCCACTTGTTAACTAGTAAAGTCAAAAGAGGTGTCAACTAGTTAACTAGTGAATATTTTGCCTTTACTAGTTAACTAGTGTGTGATTATGGGTGCTACTAGTTAACTAGTGCAGACAAATGTATGCCACGAGTTAACAAGTTCTGCTTATTTTGTGTAACTAGTGAACATGTCAGAGCTTTTGCAGCGCACTAATTAACTTGTAAGACTTTTAGGGTCACTAGTACGGTCAGAGGATCACTAGTTCATCAAAAAGCTTACACGTTGGGACTTTGCCCCTACTTGTGCTGCTCCTGGCGTCACTAGTAAGGCATATGTGGTAATCAGTCGGACAAAAGTGCCACTAGTTGCTGAAAAAGAGTGACTAGTGTAATGTTTTATTTAACAAGAAAAGCAGAGTGCCAAATTAGTTTGACCATATATCTAACAAGTGTAATCAAAGAGCCAACTAGTGTAGGCAGCTGCCGTCTGATATCAAGGATATGGAAGACATACTCAAACGGCTTGCCATGCACCCCCCCCTCACACTGCACCCCCACCACACATAATCTGACCCCCACCTCTCTCAGGCTGCACCTACAATAATGATGAGTGTGAAGTGCAGTTGAAATTATTTGTGTGTGTGTGTGTGTGTGTGTGTGTGTGTGTGTGTGTGTGTGTGTGTGTGTGTGTGTGTGTGTGTCTCAGTGGTGCAGGGCAGGAGAGTGTGTCAGTAAGACCCCCATCCCGCAGCATGTGGACGGGGACTGGAGTCCGTGGAGCCAGTGGAGCATGTGCAGCAGAACCTGCGGTACTGGAGTCCAGTTCAGACAGAGGAAATGTGACAACCCTCCGTATGTCACCCCACTGTCCGTCTGTGTGTGTGTTTATGTAAAAATATTCCCTCAAAGCAACAACAATGCAACAATATTTTCCTTCGATGGGAGGGGGACAACCTGTAGATAACCGTGGGGCTCCAACCAGGAAACACAGCGGCTGACACAGCTGAGGGAACAGCAGCAACGTTTATATATTTTAAAATTAAATAATTTAAGACCATCAAAATAAAATAGGCCAGTGACATTTCAACACAGCAACACATTTCTAACATGTATGATAACATGGTTAAGGTGAGTGACAACAAGTGATACATTCATCTATCAGGCTCCTACTGGTCTGTCTGTAGGCAGTAGCTTGAGAACCGGAGGGTCGCCAGAGTGTGGAGAGTAGGCTGACACTGTGAGAGGTGCCCTTGAGCAACGGTACTGTATATATTAGCTAGACTTTACACTAGGATGGGATATAAAATATAGAGTCCTAAATGCATTGTGTGTGTGGTGCTGTTTACATGTACACGTGTGACGATTGAAGAGAAGTTAATTAAAATCCTCCATTTCTGTCAAAGCCAAACAAATGCTGCTTCATGTTGTATCAAACTGATGGACAGTGAATCAGTAAGCATTAAATACTGCTTATTATCTATTATTTACAGTAGGTGCATAACGGATGTTATATTTTTAATCTCTAGAACATTGGTAGCAGATCTTCATGCAGAGTGGAGCTCTTCATCCAACTGTGTTTACACCACATGCTTGTTGACACAATGACAACTTTCTCTTCAAAAACGGTTTTGCTTTTAATACTAACATGTATAAACAGATTGTCCCATGAGTATACCCACCCACTAAATGTTTCAATCATGTGTAATTACAAAACTTAGCATTGGATGTGATGTATTTTACATATGATTTATATAGAATCGCAACACAAACGCATGTGTATCTATCAAAGCATGATTGTCCTCCATCTTTGGAGCAGATGCCACGGTGCTGACAGGCTTTAAAAAGTTCTCCAACTAAAATGATTCTAATGTGATATCCACATTAACGTTCAAACAAGCATGCATTGTTTAGCTTTTCATTTCTCTCAAGATCCCGTTGGTAGTCTTGACACTGTTGCATATCATGTTTGCATTGTGTTAAACAATCAAACAAAACGATGATTCATACCTACTGACAAACCTGTGATTGAACAGACCCTTAATACCCTTCTATCTCCTAGTTTCCTTAACTGAATGTGTGTGTGTGTGTGTGTGTGTGTGTGTGTGTGTGTGTGTGTGTGTGTGTGTGTGTGTGTGTGTGTGTGTGTGTGTGTGTGTGTGTGTGTGTGTGTGTGTGCGCGTTTTTAGGCCTGGTCCTGGGGGGCAACACTGTCAAAAGCTCAGTGTGGAGCACAAGGCCTGTGAACGCCCCCCCTGTCCGAAAGGAACCCCCTCCTTCAGAGACCTGCAGTGTCTGTCCTACGACCGGCACGCCAGCAAGAAGAAGGGCGGCATGCTGACTGCCATTATCAATGATGGTGAGACACACACACACACACACACACACACACACACACACACACACACACACACACACACACACACACACCCACACACACACACACACACATGCTTTGGGGATACATTTAAATACTCCCCCCTTTGAGAATACATCATATAACTGACCTTATACTTAAGATAAAACACAAGCAGTCCATTGTGCACGGATGATTTGTTTATTGGTTGGTTCAGGTGAGCATCCTTAATTCCCAACATTTTGAACAATATCATGACCAATTTATATTTTTAGAGAATGTGAATGGGGATTGTGTATTTACAGAGCCAGACACAGAGCGACTGTACTGAAAATGTGTGATTTCACCATTAGGTTGTGCATAATTTCCTGCTGAATATATTCCTTTACGAGACAATTGATGTCACTGCAAGGAGAGAACAACAAAGACCTTGTTTGCTTTTGTTAGTAACCCTAGACATAACAGGTCACAGTTGGAATGCATATACTTGGCATCAATACATTTGTATGTAAACATGATTACTTTCAGCTGACACTGTTATCCAAAGAGACTTACAATAAGTGCAATAAACCATAAAGATACAACCTCAGAACAGTTAAAAACGTATTTTAATTCATTTAATGGCCAAGGAGCAAAACAGGTGGGTTTTCAGTTTGCCCCATTTTGGAGCCAGGACAAAAAACATGCAATATTCGTCGAGGTGCACCTGGGTCCACCTCGCAGTGAGGGAGTAGCAAGCGGATTGGCTGATGCAGAGGGAAGTGCAGGAGTGCATAGTTTGATCAGTGTTCAGAGCCATAAGTGAGCAACAGTCAGAAGAAGGGGGGGCTGAGAGGAGGGAGAGAGGGAGGTCACAGCAGACAGGTACACTTTTAGAGGAAATGGGGAGAGAGTAGGATAAGAAGTAGCGATCAGAGATGTGAAGTGAGGCTACAGAGGGGAAAGAGGTCGAGCAGTTTCTGGTGATGATCAGTTTTAGGAGATTGCCAGCTTTGTGAGGAGCTGGGGAAGGAGACGGTGAGAGAGTAAAGGAGTTTAGCAGGAGAAGTCAATCAAACAACCTCTCTGTCTGGATGTTGAAGTCACAGAGAAGAACCAGCATGATGTTAGTTAGTAGCGTGTCTAATTCCTCCAAGCATCCCCTCATAGGACCTGGTGGGCAGTACAGAACAGCAATAGATAGGTTAGTTATTGTTACAGTGTGACATTCAAAAGAAGCAGTTAAGTGCGGGATTAGGTAGAGCAAAGAAAACGACATGTAAGTGATATACTGTAAGAAGACCAGAGCCCCCTCCTCTAGCAGAGGGTCTGGGTGGGTGGGTGAAGTCGGCTATGGACAGAGCAGTGGGGGGGGGAGGAGTTGTCTATCCAAACCGATTCTTGGGAGGCTTAGCCAGAAATGATCTCAGTCTTTTGAGTAGCAGACTGGCGGTTCCTGTGACAAGGTGTTGTTTGTGAGTTGAGCAGGTTGTAGAGATTAGAGCGGACAGGTTGTGGTGCTCAGAATTTGTGCAAGGTTTATAATATCTACAAGAAGAATCATGCACTGGAATGGAAAGTAAACGCATGTCTGAAAAGGAGAGGGGGGAAATCACAAATTGATACTTAGCCCAGTTAAAGTTGAGTTAGCCCCACTAGACTCCTGCAAGACCCCTTTGTCTTTGTTTGTCTACGACTGACGAGTCTGAGTCTGACGCTAAGAGAACATGCTGCTTCATTACTCAGTGTACTACAGCTGTGATAGGCACTCCCCCAGCCTGAACATTGCTCTGAAGAGAAAGCAGTGGGCCTTTTGCAGGTTGAATGTTATAATTGCTGCCACTTATTATAACATTCAACATTCATAACAACCCTAGCTGGAGTTTTCAAATTACAAGATTAAACGCTTAAAACATTAGATGTTACCCAAAGAGATTTGACAACAGTTTATAACAGAGAAATAAACTGAGCTAATTCCTTTGCAGTCCAGAAATCAAAATTCTTTAGTTTCAGTGCACTTATTTAGGTGTTTGTGTGACATGTGATTCAGCTAAAGAGTCAGAGGGTCACAGAGGGTGGAGACTGTAATTCACCACAGGTGTCACAGAATGGAACTTCCTGCAATCCCTGTGAAATCCATCTTCCTTTGTTTTCTCATGCTTTCCCAAAGTGGACTGATACGGATCCAAACAGACACTCCTTTACTCTCACCCAGAGCACTCAAAGTTCTTAGTTAATCAGAGCCTCTCAGAAGCTCACGTCATCACAGCTGCTTCGCTTTGATTTAGGAGCTTTATTCTCACAGGATGTGAATATGTGTCTCTGAAGGGTCGACCAATATCAACCCTCCTCTCTCCTTCCTTTGATCACTCAACAACGCTTGTGCTGTCCCCGGTATATGTAGTGTGTACAGCTTAACAGCCAGATGAACTCCCTCCGTACACCAAGACTCTGAAGACGGGAATCCTTTGCCCACAGGTTTAATGGTATAAGGATGGTGTGAAAATACGATGCGATCAAAGGCATGAAAACGTATGCAGATGTAGCTGCATTTCTTACAAACAATAACACATTGCTCACAGAGCCATGCTTTGCCTATTTCCTCTCTAACGATCACCTGACACACCCCTCTGTCATCCTGATCTTAAAGGGACCACGACCAGGCTCAATAGGCACACAAAGAATAGCCCAGAAAATGCAAACAAGAGTAAACTTAGCTGTAACAAAACAACGCTCATTGGTCCAGGATGGTGGTTAATACACATTCTATCAATCCTTAAAAACATTCATTTCAACATTAATGTCAATATTGTTTGAATTCAGAAAAATAAACGTAGTTGTTCATTTTTCCTATTCTTGATTTATTTCCCTTTATAATCGTCGTAAGCACATAAGCCTATAAGCTCAAATTATACTTCATATTTAGGATATCTCAGATTTGAACAATATCAATCCAAATATTGATAATATTTTAATAATATGATTATGAAATGCAACCTTAGTGTTTTTGACTTTCTTTACCTATCGTGCCAACACACCAAATCGATACATTCTTAAGTCTTTCTGAGGATACAATGTTAATATCTGTTAATAACTCAGACAACCCTGGGCTGAGTAAGACAATATGCTCACAGACAACAGAGGAAATGGTTTTTGGCCCCATCTAACCTTCATAAAGTCCCTATTATCACCCATAATGAAAGAAATCAAGCAGGTACTTCCATATAAATACTCACTGATGTAGTGTTCCCGACAGCTGTCACATACATCTTTGAGTGGATAGTCATCAGACCTGACCTCACATGACCTGCACAGGCTGTTACTTTGGAAATTGTAAATAAAGGTAGTTTCAAATGTCAAGTCAATGACAGGCAGGTGCTCCCATTCATAAATCAAGTTTTCTGTGTTTCTGAATAACACTGAATGGATCCGCATTGTTTGTTATTGTGCCTTTTTATTACACTTGTAGTTATACTAACCACATGCTTGTGTGTTGTTTTTTGTTTGTTTGTTTGTTTGTTTGTGTGTGTGTGTGTGTGTGGGGGTGTGTGTGTGTGTGTGTGTGTGTGTGTGTGTGTGTGTGTGTGTGTGTGTATGTGTGTGTGTGTGTGTGTGTGTGTGTGTGCAGATAAGCCCTGTGTGTTGTTCTGCAGCCCTCTGGGCCGGGATGTCCCCGTCCTGGTGTCTGACAGAGTGATGGACGGGACCCCCTGTGGCCCCTATGAAGCTGACCTGTGTGTGAACGGAAGATGTCAGGTACACACTCACACACACCCAAATATGTGAATACTCCTTCAGAATCCTATCACCAGATGTGATCAGACTTCCTGTTGCCAGGTGCCCAGCCTGCTCCCCTGCACTGAGACAAATGCTGTGTCTTTTGTGTACTTCTGCATTTACGTGCTTTGAGTGCATAAGTGTGTGCCAATGCCAAGTGCGGCAAAATGCACCATGCCTCGTTGCTAGCTAAAAATGGTGACTGTCACATCCTGTGAGGGCCAGGCACCCAGGAAAGTGCGGTGGACATTGAAGTGGTCAAACTGTGGCACTACAACCTCTGTGTCAGTCCGTGATGTCATTGGGCATAGAAATACAACTGCGCATGCTCTGAGCTACATACGGTACTTCTGCTCTGACAGCCAGGTCAGATCTTTTTTTAAAAACACTTTTATTCAGATTTTCAACAAACAATTAAACTATTTGCTTATATACATTGAGTGTGACCTCATCTCCAAGATGGACTCCCAAATATTTTAGACCACCCCTCTGCCATGTCAACCCACCTGGGAGTTGAGGGAGGCCACCAGTCCACTCCCCCACTGCTAGGGCCTCACTTTTGGCCCAGTTGACTTTTGCAGAGGAGATCTTTTGGAAAGTATCCACTACCTGCCCTAGCTTTAAAACATCCTCTTTTTTTTTTTATAAAAACAATGATGTTGTCTGCATAGGCAGATCAAATAAAACGTGTATTAAAACCAGGTAAAAACAGGCCCTCATTAAAAGAGCGGATATTGTGTAGCATGGGCTCTATTGTCAGTGTGCACAACATACCTGACATCGAGCAGCCTTGTCTTATCCCCCTGGTCACATTAAAGGGTCTAGACCAGGGGTGGGCAAACTTTTTGGCTCGGGGGCCACTATGAGTTGACAGACGGCCTGGGCCAGTAGCAGATCGGTAAAAAGATATTTAGCTGTCCACTCCTCATTAAACACTCGGCACTCAATGTTGACTTTTCCTTTCTTTGGTCCGCTCATTGTTACAGATGCATGTTCAAAGGTGAATTATTGCGTCATTGCGTCATCGTTTGCGTCATGACGTAACCGTTTACCTGCCTTGTTATGACCCACACAGCGTTTTACGTCGCTGATTTTCTCCGCAACACCGCTCACAACAACATCAATAGAGGACTGCGTCGGGTAGTTTTTAATCATACGAAGCCAGATTAAATTAAAGAACTACTTCCCCAACCTTATACCTTTCTCCAGAGAGCCGTGGTGCATTGTTTATTAATGTGGTTCAGCTGCATTACTGCCCGCTGCAGTGCTGCTCGTCTACCGGAGTTTATTCTCCCGTTAACTCGCGGCAGCGGCCGCTATAAAGTTTTCACTGTCTGACTGTCACAACAAGCAGCTGATAAATATCCCCCATCCCCATCAGTGAATGTATTTTAGTCTGAAAGCTGTTTGGCATCACAACGCTGTTATGAACGTTTCTCTGGCATTCTACAGGTGATGTTAGCATAGCAACCGAAGCTAATCAGACTATCTTGACTACTTGTTGCTATCATATTGTGGCATAAGCCGTTTTCTACACGCA